AAAAATGGATGTATGTGGTAATCACATTTGTACATCAGTCATCTTAGATTGTAAGTTCTTCGGGGTAGTGACAACATTTGTGTGTGTGTTTGTGTGGCACCTGGCATAAAGGGAGCCCCAAATCTGATTAGGGCCACTGGGTATTATAATAGACATATTTAATAGAGGTTGGGGACAGTGACCTCATGCAGATGTGCAGTCCTCTGAAGAACCTGGGCCTATCTTCTTGTGTGTGGCTGTCATGGAATTTCTAAAGCTGAAGTCCTGTTACTGTGTTAAAATAAAAATAACTTACCCTGGGTGTGTGCTGGAGGCCCTGGGAAGTCTTGGTCTTTTTCTCACTATTCATTATTGTGGTGAACGATCTTCAGTTTGATGGTCCCCTTGTCACTTCTTAAACAACAACTGAAATTCAGATTTGTGCTCTGCAAACTGCACAGATCATTCAGTTTGTCTAGCTTTCATGGTATCATCCAGCCTGGGAAGAACTCCTGATCAGATGTCAGGAGTCACACTCTCTCCTGATGTCATCTGGTGTATCTTTCAGGCCATAAATGTTTGTTGGGGTTTTGGGGAGGCTGCTATCACGTGGTTGGATTCTGATCTCACTACTGTTGTGCACAGTGTTACTCCATTGATTTCCCCCGCACCCCAGTTTTACTCTTGATTTACACCACAATAAGTGAGGGGAGAATCAGGCCCAGAAATTTGGTGTCTGTGATGGGTTAGCCTTGAGATTCTGCATAGAGCAGTAAACATACAGAGGGGCAAAACCAAACTGCAAAGTGAGCTGGGGAGATTAGAACAGATGGGATTACAGTCAACAAGGGGAGACTCAGTACTAGTAAATATAAAAAACATGCAGGGGGAAGAAATCAAGATCCGTGATACAATCTATCTAAGCAATTGCACCTTTCATGTTAAAGTTTATTTAATCTTATCCGATTAATACTGTCTGAATGTTAGTTGTACATGTTTGTGAGACCAAGCACTGTACTTATCAAAGGGAAAGCATGGAGTTGGGAGGCTGGGTGGGGAGTTGCTCCATGAGAGCATTTCTATTTCACTATAGTAAACTTGAAAAAACGAGAACCACGGAGTTGGAGAACCATTAAGAAGCACAAACATTATTAATTTGTTTTCAGAGTTAGAGCATAAAACAGTAAGATATCAAGAGCAAACATATTACGAGCAACTGAAAAAACCTATGTTACTGGTACTGGAAGCATCTCATCTTTCGTTTCATGACTAAACTAACAATACCAGTAACTCTGTATGTGTCACATTTTCCCCTGCTTCCTCCCAAGTGGCTAACCTACAGCAGGAGGGCATGGGGGTCATGGCACTAGTGGGAGATGATAAACCTGGGAATTAGGAGGATAAGCAACCGTAATTTCATCACAAGGAGAAATGTGCCTGCTCTTGGTGGAATCACTGCACTTTCTCCCCTTTCTCCTCCCAAAAATGTCCTGATCCTGCATTTCAAAGGGAATATTGGTGGGACAAGGATTGCAGGCTCACACTCTTTTTGTGTTTGTGTGTAGGAGAGGGGAAGACAGATCCCTTTTGATCGTGTAACTCTTGTCTCCCTCCCAGTTCATGCTATCAACTTCTGTACCCTACCCATCCCATTGAGGCCTATCCTCCCAACATGACCTGCCTTTCCTCTCATGGATGCAGTTCTTATTAAATACTGTCAAAAACAAGTTAATTCTTCACCCCCCAGGATCTTTAACTTGTCTTCTGCCTCACAAAGGGATAAAATAGTATCTTTTGTTAGAGTAGAAATGTGTTATTTTGCCTTTGGAATGATGTGGAACATCAATTCTTATCTATTGATATAAATATTTTATAATTTAAAAGGAACTGAACATATATATTGGGTAGAAGAGGGAACTAAATGTCAAAGACAACTTTTGATCAATTAAAATTACTAAGAATGCATTTATAAAGGAACCAATATCATTAATTAGGCTGTAGCTGCTTATCTTTTTTATTATACATACATTGCTGTGGGTATAGTGCTTTAAAGCATCTGCTCAATAGTCCGTTATGATAGTACAAGAATGCTTTTTCGTGAGAGTAATAAAGTAACAGATGCTTCCTGATGACAACTTCCCAATTTGTTTAGGAAACAGTCAGTCAGTCCTGGATTCAGTTTTCCTTTGCAGTGCAGCAGCCATGCAAGCAAATTCTTATGGAGAAAAAAGAACTGAGAAATCAAGTGTCTGTGTAATTTTTCTAGGAATTACAATTTAGCCAGAAATCCCTATTTAATAACACTTTAATAAAATTCTCATTCTATCCACTGTGCAGATAAATCTTTTTGCCATAGTGAGTATCTAAACAAAATCCATCAATTCAACAACAGAGCTAACTCACCCTCTTTATATTTATATTTCCAGGAATATTTTTGGAGCAATGGTACTGTACACGTTATGACCTATCAATGCTCAAGAGTAAATTATTTATGTTGCATCGTAGCGGTCATAATACCGTAGTACATAAAGTACTGTTAACAGCTCAAAGGGTGCAGGACAGCAGTATATATAGCGAGGAAAGGAACAAATTAAAAATTAAAAAAACAACCTATAAATAAGCTATCACATGGCTTATGTGAAAATAACTGGATTTTATTTTTATGTATTAGTTATACCTTCTATTATTTATGGCTCTGTTAGCGATTATGCAAAAAGCTATGGCCATTTGTTTAAAAACCCCTCAGACTTACCTTCTGTTCGGAGACAGGAATTTTCTCTTAGTCTTTGTGAGTTTTATTCAGTCACAAAAAGGGTCTTAAATGCTCCAAAGATCATCTTAAAGAGACCCAGTTCATTTTATTCTAGAACATGACTTTAACAAAAGCTCAACTCACCAGCTAAAGAGACACTCTCAGTGGTTGTAGGCGCCAAAATTTACTTTACCATGTTAAATTCTATGCATCATCCTTACAGAGACTATAAAGTACAGGATTACATGTTGGTACTGTATCTTTTTATGTAACAAGTCCTGCCACTGCTGTTTACCAAAATTAAAAGGGATTAGAAATAGCTCTAAGAAGGAGTCAAGTGTCCGTGCATCTATACAGACTACAACAGTGCTTCCACTTGTCACAATATATACAGCATGCAAAGAGATCTGAATGATCAAAAATCATTTTTTGAATAACAGAAGCTTCGTATACTAGACCAAATTCCACCTTGTTACATGAGAGAGGAGGGAGAATTTTTGTCTTCCAAAGCTTCCTTAAGCTTTGCATTCTTTTGAATTCCCTGTTTCAGACACAGCCTAAACTATCATTTAAAAGCAAAAAACAGGTTAATACAAAATGAAAATGGTGAATCTCCAGCTCCCTAAAACATGAATGGAAATGGTCAACCTCCAGCTCCCTAAAACACCAGGCTTTTCGGGAGAAGACTGCTTGCACAATGTGCTCTTCCCTATTCTTAACCCTCTCCAGAGGTGTACTGACTCTTCTGGGGATGCCACTGATGGATGAAATAGCTCTTGTCTCTTGAGAAGTAGGATCTTTAGAGAGGCATATTGTAATCTAATTTCCCTCCAGTAACACCAGAAGTCCTCAAGGGAGATTTTTTATAGTCCATCTCCTCCCTCTTGAGGAACAGGGTCATCAGAGCTTCTGACTCCTTCACTGTTCTATTCCCTAATCCAGTTCATCTCCAGAAAATTAAGGTTTTTCTGCAGAGGTTGCTCAAACCCTGAACTCCCTGTAATCCCAAAAAGCAGAATTTTTTAGCAACAGACTGCTCATATCTTAACCCACCACTTCCAAGATAGCAGGATGTTCATGAGGCCTGTTCTGCTGAATTCACATTGAGGAAGGTAGCTCTTTGGTAAAGATGTTACTTATTTCTCCATTTGCTTTTGGGTGAAAGAGAGGGTGACTTTTTTTTATTCTAGTTTAAAAATAATTCCAAATTAGAAATCAATATAATGTTAATGACTAAAATGTTGTTAGTTGTTTTTCCATATACACATGCATGAGAGTGTACATGCATGTACTGGACTGTTTTGGTGGAAGAATAATATTTAAAAACTTGTATCAGCACTGGAACTATCATTGGTACAGTACTGCACAGACAACAAAAGAAAGTGACTCAGCAAGTACTTAACTATATGTCAAATTATCCAGTCCTGTTTCAGAGCAAGATCGTCTAATGGCCAAAATAGTACGTAAACCCATAATATAAAAACCTACTCAACATTAATATCTTCACAAAGAATCATTTTAAGTTTTTCTTCAAGAAGAGATTGTCTTAAGTCATATAGTTTGGGTCTGGGTTCAGATTTGAATCCAAAGGTCCTCAAAATTTGAGGGGATTTGGGCTGATCCCTAGTTGCTGTTTTTAATTTCTGACACTACCCTCCCTTCTCTTCTTCACTTTTCCCATTTATGCTCTTCACCAAAGCACTGTCCCAGAAGATATATCCAGTTTAAAGAATTATCAGTTTACTAGGCAAAAGATCTTTTACATAGTATTGACTCCCAATATCATATCTGATCAGTGGGATTGCTATTGTATGTAAACTGGGTAAAGCATACAGATCTGTATCTGGTTGGTGAAGTCAAAAACAGTAATCAATGTTGTCCCTTCTGGCATATGGTCTTTAATATCTCATTGCCTAAGATTTTAAAAGCTGGGTCCACAGAGAGAGTTCCCTTTAATGTTCAGTCTCAGTGCTTTAGGTATCTGTTTTTTGGTAAACTAAGATCAAGCTTTCTGCAATTGGCCATTATAATTCAGTTGTTCTTTGAGCTGGTGTGATTGTCTAAATACCTTAATTTAATGTTTAAAATTGTGTTATCATTATTTTCAACTACAGTGGTATGTGGCTATCCAGAATCTGGGACCTCTAGTCACAGTCTTGTACACTTGTTTATCAGCAACACCTGATTGTCTAAAATACTATTTGGATGAAATCAACTTACATAGGCTTTCCAAAAAGTCATAGTATGTTCTCTATGGTTACCCTTATAGTTTGTCAGTTCTTGCATCTCCCTCATGGATTGAGTCATGGCAGAGGAAGCATTAAGGTGAGTTAAGGATCTAAGAAAAAATACAAAATAGCGTTAACTGTCTTATATGTTGTAACAACTTGAGGGTTAAAGAATGCTGTTTCTTCATTGTTCCCTTTCAGTCTTTGGCATTATGCTTGGGCAAAGAACTAAATATTCACAGTTAGTTGGTACTAGTGCACCCACAAAGCCCATATTTGTGCATCTATACCTACCCTTACAGTTGTGCATCTATACCTACCCTTACAGGGGCATACAGTTGATTTGTGTATGCAAATTCAGGGTTTTGAAGGCTCACAAGTGCAAGTGCATGTGCATTCTTGGAAAATTTGTTCCAGTATATCTAATTAGCTTATTTAGTAGGGTTAAAAAGTTAATGGCCTAAATTTCAGAGTGATAAGCTTTCGCAATTGGTTGTAAAGTCAATAAGAACTATGGGTGCTCAGCACCTTTTGAAAATTATGTCTTATGTTCATACGTTGGTAAAAGAAGATACAAAAAGTAAGCTGGTAATTGGGAGCTCCTGGGAATGTATCGGAATGTTTCTGCTTATAAACAAATAGAAGAGGTGGAGCCCAATCTATAGCTGAAGTTGAATTTAGCACCATATAGTAAGAGGAGGGGAAGAAAATTGTCTCAACTTCAGAAGTGTTATTAACCAACACAACCTCTTGCAAAATAGCTCTTATTAAAAATGTAACTTAGAATTTATAGCATACAATGAATTATCCTTTGGAAAAGAAGAACATAAGAACAGCCATACTGGATCAGACCAAAGGTCCTTCTAGCCCAGTATCCTGTTTTCCGAGTTTCAGAGTGGTAGCCATGTTAGTCTGTATCAGCAAAAACAATAAGGAGTTCTTGTGGCACCTTATAGACTAACAAATTTATTTGGGCATAAGCTTTCGTGGGCTAGAACCCACTTCCTGCATGGAGTGGAAAATACAGGAGCCGGTATAAATACATGAAAAGATGTGAATTGCCTTACCAAGTGTGAGGTTAGTCTAACGAGACAATTCAATTGACAGCAGCATACCAAGGGAGGAAAAATAACTTTTGAAGTGGTAATGAGAATGGCCCATTTCAGACAGTTGACAAGAGTAACAATAGGGGGGAATTAGTACTGGGGAAATTAGATTTAGGTTTTATAATGACCCAACCACTCCCAGTCTTTATTCAGGCCTAATCTGATGGTGTCCAGTTTGCAAATTAATTCCAGTTTTGCAGTTTCACATTGTAGTCTATTTTTGAAGTTTTTTGTTGCCACTTCTATTTATTGAGTGACCAGGGAGAGATTGAAGTGTTCTCCTACTGGTTTTTGAATGTTATGATTCCTGATGTCAGATTTGTGTCCATTTATTCTTTTGCGTAGAGACTCTCCGGTTTGGCCAATGTACATGGCAGAGGGGCATTGCTGGCACATGATGGCATATATCACATTGGTTAGATAGGTAGTGGTTAGGTCCTATGATGGTGTCCCTTGAATAGATATGTGGACAGAGTTGGCACCGGGGTTTGTTGCAGGGTTTGGTTCCTGGGTTGGTGTTTTTGTTGTGTGTTGTGTAGTTGCTGGTGAGTATTTGCTTCAGGTTGGGGGGCTGTCTGTAAGCGAGGACTGGCCTGTCCCCCAAGGTCTGTGAGAGTGAGGGATCATCCTTCAGGGTAGGTTGTAGATCCTTGATGATGCACTGGAGAGGTTTTAGTTGGGGGCTGTAGGTGACGGCTAGTGGCGTTCTGTTACTTTCTTTGTTGAGCCTGTCTTGTTGTAGGTGACTTCTGGGTACCCTTCTGGCTCTGTCAGTCTGTTTTTTCACTTCAGCAGGTGGGTATTGTCGTTGTAAGAACGCTTGATAGAGATCCTGTAGGTGTTTGTCTCTGTCTGAGGGATCGGAGCAAATGCGGTTGTAGCTTAGAGCTTGGCTGTAGACAATGGATCGTTACCACTTCAAAAGTTATTTTTCCTCCCTTGGTATCTTGTTGTCAATTGAATTGTCTTGTTAAACTAACCTCACACTTGGTAAGGCAATTCACATCTTATCATGTATTTATACCTGCTCCTGTATTTTCCACTCCATGCGTCTGATGAAGTGGGTTCTAGCCCACGAAAGCTTATGCCCAAATAAATTTGTTAGTCTCTAAGGTGCCACAAGGACTCCTCATTGTTTTTGTTTTCCGACAGTTGCCAATGTCAGGTGCCCCAGAGGGAACGAACAAAACAGGTAATCATCGAGTGTTCCATCCCCGTCACCCATTCCCAGCTTCTGGCAAACAAACAGAGGCTAGGGCAGGGATCTCAAACTCAAATCACCACAAGGGCCACATGAGGACTAGTACATTAGCCCGAGGGCCGCATCACTTGAACCTTTTCATACAACGATGCAAAAGTATAGTCAAAAATGAAAAAAATGAAGAGTAATAGTATGATATTAAAAGTCAATGTATTAACTTTTTAAAAACTGTCATGTGAAGAGGGGTTTAATAAAATATAAACACCTGTAACTATTCCTTGTGGTCAGAGGGGAGCTTGGCTCCTATGGCGAGCCGCAGGAAATAACTCAGCCCGCAGGCCGCGTGTTTGAGACCCCTGGACTAGGGACACCATCCCTGTCCATCCTCGCTAATAGCCATTGATGGACCTACCCTCCATGAATTTATCTATGAATTTTTGAACCCTGTTATAGTCTTGGCCTTCACAACATCCTCTGGCAAAAAGTTCCATAGGTTGACTGTGTGTTGTGTGAAGAAATACTTCCTTTTGTTTGTTTTAAACCTCCACATTCTTTAGGGAACTATTATAACCTCACCTTCAGTGGGTAGGACGATCTTCAACAGCAACAGGTAACGAAGGGAGTAGCTGCTGTAGCCAACATATTGCTAAAAGTATTGTGATAAAGATTTTCCACAGTTGCTTTTTTGTCTGCTTCTCTGTCTCATAAAAGCAATCTGGATTAATTAAGGCCACAATCCTGCAAAGACTAACACGTGGGTTTAACTATATACATATTCCTCATGATGTGTGAAGTGAAGCATGTAGGTAAATCTTTGCAGAATTGGGGCTTTCGTGTTTTCCTTTCTGGTCTTACTATTTCCTCAGGACTCAACTGATGAGTGTTCAGTAAGGGACAGTCCCTCTCATGTCTGCTCCTTATATTTATTAAATTAACTATTATAATGGTAATCCTTATTTTCTCCTCATGGGTAAGCCTACAATTTACTGAAGTACTGTGTTAATGTTTGTTGTTTTAGGAAGCCCTGGATGATTCTCAAGTAGCTGGAATCTGTGCAACATCAGAAGTGATTCGTTATGAGTATCATGTCTTGTATTCCAGCAGCTACCAAGTACCAGTGCTTTACTTTAGGGCATGCTTTTTAGGTAAGACTTGTTATATATTAAACACATAGTAAAAGAAAAAAAAAATGCAGGGATGAAGTGGAATCTTTGAAACAGATTTTGTACTCTTTGTCAGTATAATAATCATGTTTAACATAAAAAATATGATGTGGGGTGTTCACTAGTAAATTTTCTGATATTCCAGACACTGTCAGCCCTAGGACCTTGGAGTAGATGATATCATCTCAGCCTGGAGGAGTCTGATCTTTAGACTCCTGGCATCATGCCCATGGTTGACGAAACCTGCTGGCCATTTTTCTTTTTTGATTTCTTTAAATGAATACAAAGAAGTTAAAGCTACAGCATCAAATTCAGCCATGGAATAAGTAGGCTCTACTGCAGTGACTTCAGCTGAGTTGCGCCTGCTTATTTCAGAGGTAAATTTGATCCACAATGATTAGGTCAAAATTTACATTTAAAACAGTCAGTATGTTGTCTTTCTTTCTAATGTAAACAGTTTTTAAAAGATATCAAATCTTTTCAACATAAAACCAACATAAAATCAGTTTGCACTGGAAGAAACAGTTTTAAAACATTGCGTAAAATGACTGAAATCAATAAAATAGTTTATTTTCTCCCTAATCTATACATCTTGTCACCCACTGCCCAGTGACTACTGCCACTGTGATTTCAGTCTCTCTCCTGTCAGGAAAGTGGAACACACTGTCTCCTTTCAAAGCCACTGTTAGTCATGCTTATTTAATCAAGAAGCATAGAGTGATCATACTGCAGCACTGTCTGTGCTCCTCTCCTCTTCCCAAAGACAATGCACTTGGGGCTGAGGAGTTGGAATCTTGAGGTCATTTCTAAACTTGGTCTCCTGCATGGCAGCATGAGCAGATTTTGTGTTTTGGATGATCTCCTAATTTTATCCTGATGAAGACATCTGAATGTTGCCTGTGATATTTTTCTTTTTAGTTAAATAGTCGCTTAAGCTGCTTTGACTCTGTTTGATAGATTTAATCACTCATGGCCTTATATTGTTTAATTGCTTCTAATTTTGCAATGTTAGCATTTTAACAAGCACTTTAGATTTAAAATTGAAAACAAATTCTCAGACTCAGTGGTGAAAAGATTTTAGTCTGAGGTGCAATTTCTAAGAACTGATAATTTGGGGTAAATGTTCAAATTGGGGAATTGGGGATACAGCTCAGTCTCCATAACCACCAACAGATCACAAATTCTCACACGCTTCATGTTGCAAATTTATTCCTAGGACTGTTACAAGCATTTACAAATGTGCAATAATCTGTCATTAAACTTGTTTTGCAGGCAGAAGGATAAAGAAACTCTTGCTAGTCAGTAACTTTTGCTGTCTCGAAATAACATAGTAAGAGGCTGATTAATTTATTTGTGGTGCTGAAAAATGTCATCTTGTTGGTTTTAGTTGAATTAACAGTATTCCTTCTCTGTGCAAGAGAATGGTGATGCTGCAGGTAGAGGAAACAGTATTTCTATAGTACTGTACTTTCATATAATTAGTATTCACTATAAGCAGTTAATCACCAGAGAAGAGCTCCCAGAGACAAAACAAGTTGTTTAGCTTGTCAGCATCAGGGAATCGGAGGTGTTGAAACATGACTCCTTATAGCTGGAAGTGGATGTTACAGAAGCTGGTGGATGAGCTAATGCACAATCCTAGTATTATGTACCAACAGCTCCCCTTGCAGTACAGAACTGTAATTGTTCCTACAAGTATAATTAGGTTTTTAACACACTTCTTGGGAATCTTTCACAGTGGAAACTTACGGTTTTTTTTGAGAATTTCTGGAGTCATCTGGAGTCTCTTTAGATCCTTATTAACATTTTTCTTTTGGTGTCTGGCTTGAAGAGAGGAGGATACAAATACTGGCATCCAACTCTTTTTTTCCAGAAGCGTATTGAATTAGTACTACATCTCTTATTTTCATTCTGTATAGCATAGTTTTTTTGATATTGGAAATCCTTCCTTTGATACAGATTATCTACTTACTGCCTGGTTAGTGCTATCCAAAACCCCCAATGTGACGTTTTTCAGAATATACAGATCACTATTTATGACAGACATCTGAGCAAGCTTTCTGCTTTGCCTTGTCTGGTCCCCACCTGAAAACAAGCCCAGACAATGTACTGAGATTTTTGCCTTTTTATTATGATGCTACTATTCTTCCCTTGATAACCCTTTGCCCCTTTTTCTTCTGAGAGCCACTATTGTTCAGCTCTTCTGTTTGCTGAGTGGGTGGGAGAACACCCCACACTCAGACCTACATCAGCGTCACTCTGTAAATTGTTATTATTGCGTCTAGATTAGGTGGTGGGAGCAGTTCTTTCCCACTCTCTCTCTCCCCTGTGTGGTCCAAAGTTCTCCATACCCAGGGCTACAGGGACCCTAAATCTGGAAACAGGATCATGTTATTAGGCCAGTTCACTTTTTTTTAATTTAATTTTTAACTTGCAAAAATTTAAATGTAAATTTTTTCTTAACGAACCTAAAATCTTGGAGTTTGAAATATTTTGGAACTTCCCTTGTGTTAGAATCATTGTTAGAAAATTATTTTCTCTCCTCTGGGGTTCCCCGGGAGACTTCATTTCTCCCCTTTTTGGTATAGTACATCCCAAATATCCTGCATTGCTAGGATTCTCTGGAGTAGGTGGGCTGTGCATGGTTTCCATTGAAGCCTGCCTGTATCTCCCTTTACATTAATGAGGGTGGGTTGCAAGAGATAAATGTGAGCTGAATCCCTTCTAGGGGCTTTGATCATCATGCTCCCACAGCAAAAGGCTAAACTAAAATCCCAAACTCAGATTCCACACTGCAATGTGTAAAGCGGCCATTAGACCTGTAGGCCAGCCTAGGAAATAATAATTCCTCTGTTCAACCAGACTAAATAGCTTTGTATATTTTACAATATTCATGAGCACTTCCTTACATTGTCTGTTATAAAAATGACTGGTGCCAACACACCCAAGTCTGCACCCTTCCAGGCACACTATTTAAAAAAACTGTTCTAGAACAATTAAATCCTTCATTTCTCCTGTTGTATAAGAGTCCAGCTTGAGTGGAGTTACTCAGTCAGTCTTTGGCTGCACACTTAAGGGAAAAAAAGGCTCCCCAAGAGATTGCTCCTGGTACTTTTCCACTAAGATCCTCAGTTGTTCTTGGATGGCAACTTTGAGAGCCCCATGGTCAGTGGCAACATCTTTGTCAGGCTTTAATTCGCATGTACAAGAAGAGCGAATGAGCAGCAGTCATTAATGGCTGATTCTCCTCTTCAGTGTATTCCACAGGGTCAAAGTTGTTCTGAATCCTCTTCCAAACTTTATACCTACCTGAAACTGACTGTCTCTTGGAATTCTTCCTGAAACCTCCTCCTTACCCAGGGAAAATTAAACTACATTACCCTACATGTCAGAAGGACTTTGAACTTGAATTTTCATAGAATGAAAACATTTAGGGAAGATATGTATACTTTTTGTAGACTTTGAGGGTCCATGTACAGGAAAGACCTCTATGCCTTAGTGAGGGCAAAGACTTCATCTGCGAATAATGACTAAATGTGATGCCTGATGCCCTTGTTCTAACAGATATGTTAGAAGCATCGTATAGCACAAGGAGAAAATTCTTAGGCATCACATTTAGTCATTAGTCCCTCTGAAACAGTCCTTCACTGACTCCTGTTGCTCCTCAGGCAAAAGGTCCTTTTCCCAAAGTCCTTCATCTTTTTCCAAAGTCCTTCACTGACTCCTGTTGCTCCTCAGGCAAAAGGTCCTTTTTCCAAAGTCCTTCATCTTTTCCCTAGCAGCTGAGACTACCAAAGATCTAAGAATAGGATAGCTGAAGAAATACAGGAATCCTTGTTGAAGTATTTGATGTAGCCTATTAGATTTCATTGAGACAGCTGGTGTAGGCCATCAGCCTTCTTCGATGCTGGCATGAACCAGAAGTCCTGGGCTGGGTCTAGTAACCCTGCATTAATCAGAAGAGTAACTTTCCATTACCTTTAGCCTTCAAGATGCCAAAGAGGTGATGTATTTTTATGGACTGTAATGGTCTCTGTCTCCAAGGAATCTTCTATACATTTCAACAGCTCCTGAAGCTGTTCATAATCTTGTGGTAATACAGATGTAGTGTGTGGACATGGTTATCACTCCTGATCTTCAGGAAAAGAATGATGCAAGTCACCCACCACCTCTTCCTCCTCACAACCAGAGGAGGAGTCAAAAATGCTGGCTAGAGGTGAAAAAGGAGAATTGATGGGGTTGTGACAGATATGGCTGTGTTCTGCCACATTCTTGGGAGACCTTATTGAATTAAGTTTAAGTATCTTTTGGGTCCATTGTACTAAATGAATAGCTTATGTATTATTGTGGGCTGGGACTGTATGTAATCTCTCCTGGCGGAAGATGTGATGTGAGGCATGGTAGTTCAAAGGCCTATATTGAAAATGTGCCAGACAAGAATGGACATTTTGGACAATAAGTGTGAAGTGGATTTCCTGGGGAACACCAGGGAGAGGTTAATGCAAATTCCTCACCTCTAGTTATGCAAAAATCCAGACTTCCGAAACTATGCCCTGCGGAGAGTGTTTTTGTCTGCTGATTACCTGATCCTGGAGATTGGAAATCAAAGGCCCAAGCCATATAGAGAAATGGCTGAACTGCCCACCCTGAGTTCTAGTTCTGAATCTAAGGCAGTTATGAACTTCTAATCGTGAGGAGAACCCAGTTGTAGGTTTTGAAAGACTGACCCCTACCAGAACCCTGGGTTGGAGTCAAGGTGACCTCTGATAAGCTTTTTAGAATTCATGTAGGTTCTTTTATTGTTTTTAATATGTTTTCTTGGTAATGCTTTCACCTTTAGAATAAATATGCTTACTTATAAAGAGCTGCATGGTAACTTATAATTGCTGGCATTTATGTTGTTCATAGCCTTTGAAGAGAAAGCAAAACGCAAATGCTGGCCTCTTCAAGCAGCCTGGCTTGCTGAGAATATCACATTATAA